AGTGATGTCACAGAGCAGCTAATTGGTGTCACTGAGCAGCTTAGTGGTGTCACTGAGCAACTTGGTGATGTCACTGAGCAAGTTGGTGGTGTCACTGAGTAGCTTAGTGGTATCACTGAGCAACTTGGTGATGTCACTGAGCAACTTGGTGATGTCACTGAGCAACTTGGTGATGTCACTGAGCAAATTGGTTATGTCACTGAGCAACTTGGTGATGTCACTGAGCAATTGGTGATGTCACTGAGCATGTTGGTGGTGTCACTGAGCAACTTGGTGATGTCACTGATAAACTTGATGATGTCGCAGAGCAGCTTAGTGGTGTCACTGAGCAACTTGTTGATGTCACTGAGCAACTTGGTGATGTCACAGTGCAGCTTAGTGGTGTCACTGAGCAACTTGGTGATGTCACTGAGCAACTTTGTGATGTCACTGAGCAACTTTGTGATGTCACTGAGCAACTTAGTGATGTCACAGAGCAGCTAATTGGTGTCACTGAGCAACTTGGTGATGTCACTGAGCAACTTGATGATGTCACTGAGCAACTTGGTGATGTCACTGAGCATCTTGGGTATTTTACCAGTTAATCTGAATTTCTTGTAGTGGTTTTGGGAAGTTGTGAGAGAATTCTCTCAAGAGGAACGAGTTTTACTTCTGCAGTTCGTAACAGGAAGGTAAGTGGAACATTTCATTCTGTCAAAAAGTCTTGTAGTGATGCCATCACTATGACTCTGAATAATTTGCATTATAAGTACTACTTTAATTAAGCTTGTAGAGATTTTTGTGCTAGTCAACCATCACATCACATAACTTAACTTAATAATTCATGATAGAAAAAATTATCGTCAAAAAAATCAGTTGAATCAGTTACACTTACATATGTATACTCAACAACCAGCATTATTTATCTTATCTCATCTCAACATAACTGTCAATTTTAAAAATTCCTATATTTAATATAATTATTTATCAGTTCCCGAGTCCCTCATGGTGGATTTGCATTCTTACCTGGTGGAAGTGGTGTTCAGAAATTTAACATTTCATCCGTTAAATATGAGGAAAACTTATTACCCACTGCTAGTACATGGTAAGTGTTTCTCCTTCATCTCCTCCTTCCATATGTAAGACACACTCTAACCAAATGTTTTTCAACCATTCCATAGGCTGAGGTGACCAATGGTTGCACAAATGGTGTGTGTAGTTTATTTGCACACTAAATGCCATGGTCAACTTTATCGCTTTTCACAGAATAAACATTTGTAGTAATTTCCGTATAGCGAAGTCATTAAGAATAAAACCATTGGTGTGGGATAACCTGGTGCCTCGCAGTATGTAGAGAGCGCCCCCTAGTGATAAAACGATGTTGTGTGTGTCAGGTGTGAGAATACTATAAATGCATTAATTATTCACTGGGTCTTGATTTCGCTATTTTCGCCGATAAGTAAAATCTGCTAAATTAAACCAAAAAAAACAAACAATAAAACTAATATTGTTTTCTTGACAAAATTGAATATGCTCAAAATAGTGAAACTAAATGTCAGTGAAAATAAATGGTTTTACAGTATCCATTTGTG